CGTCGGAACGAATTTGACGGAAAATTAACTAACGAACGGAGACGTAACAATATCTTAATCTCATGTGTCTTCTAGCAGTCATCTAAAGTAAACAATGAAAATATAGATTACAACAATTGCAAAACATTTTAGCACATGCGTCATTAACTTTTATACAAGTACACGTTGTTCTTAGGTTACAAGAAAGTGATATGAAAGCATTTCGTCACGGATAATTTCACTTAATTCCTTTCAAATATGTTTAATTAATTTCGTTTAGTGACTTTTTAATAGTCAATACGAAAAGTGAAATTTTTCACTAAAAAAGTCCCCCGGTGGTTCGGCGATAAGTCTTGAGGCTTATAACGCTAAAAATTTGGTTTCGATACCCATGATGTGCAGAGCACAGAGAGTCCATTTTGTAGTTTCGTGCTTAACATCAAACAATCTAATCCAACCCAATTCACTGAGGCCTGGCATAGCCTGGTGATTAGGGCGAGTTGCGGGATCGAATCACCACACCGAACATATTTGCTTGTAGTTTATAGTTACTGCTTGCCACTTGTTCGAGTGTTGTTAGTGCTGTACGAAAGTGTGGTGATGAATAAAACAGAGTTCATTATTAAGGATTTGTATAGTCACCAATACTGTAGAGTCTGAACTTAAGTAGATCACATTGCCGCGAGTTCTTGTGAATACTGAATTAATGGGTCAATTTCTTGGTGTACAGTGTTTCTTCGTGATATTTTCTGAGAAAATGACATATATATTTATATATTAGCACGTGAAACTCCTAATGATTTGTTTGGTTGTTTATTTTATACGCAAAGCTGAAGAATGGCTTACAGAATGGCTGAGATCGAGCCCACAAGTTTACTGCTGAGTCATCGGGATCAACTAATAAGGAAACCGCATCGCATCTTTTTTATACAAGTGATATCAAATGTTAGAATCATACAACTATTTAGCATAAAAAATGATAAACGTGTTTATAGTCGTCTTGATAACTCAACTTACGGAGTTATGTATTTATGAAACCATATGATGTCTACTCAGTCGTCATTTCATTTCGAACAGTTTAACCTAATAAAATATAAAGATCCATCGAATGAAGTTGCTCCAAACTACAGTCCTGACATAAAAAAATATGTATGTTATACATTATTACAAATATAATAAGTTTTTAGCACATTAACAGAGATGGTTAGTGTCTGGAGAGGCCTAGTGATCAGCGTATCGGGCTACAGATTAGAAAGTCCAAACATTGGAACCACGATATACTGCTAAACACGCTCTATATATTCAGATGTGGGTGCGTTATAGCCGTGACAGTCAATTCACATAGGCTGGTGATAAAGTACCCTAATTGCCCTCCCTTTAGTCAGCAATTTTAAATTGGGGATGGCTATACATGATCCTAAGAGTTCTAAGTTAGGGATGGCTATACATGATCCTAAGAGTTCTAAGTTAGAATGGCTATACTTGAACCTAAGGGATCTAAATTAGGGGCGGCTAGACTTGATACTAAGGGTTCTAATTAGGGATGGCTATACTAGATTCTAAGGGTTCTAAATTGGGGATAGCTAAACTTGATTCTAGGGGATCTAAATTGGGAATGGCTATACTTGAACCTAAGGGATCTAAATTAGGGGTGGCTAGACTTGATCTTAAGGGATCTAAATTAGGGGTGGCTAGACTTGATCCCAGGGGATCTAAATTGGGGATGGTTATATTTGATCTTAAGGTTCTAAATTAAGGCTGGCTATATTTGATCCTAAGGGATATCTGACCCAGCCGATAAGCCACTACCTAAGGCGGTAAACAATAATATTTTGTTCTATAAGGATTTTACTTTCAATGGAAGCAATCATCTCGAGCTTTAAGATCATTATTGGCAGTCTCTTATAGCAACTATGTCTCAACAACTTAGCAACTATGTTCATGGACACAGAAACTGTGACGTAATCAGCTTAAACACAAAACAAGTTTTTACTAAGTTAAAAAAGACCTTAAAGAAGTATTTCACATCTATAAAGAAGAAAATAAAGACGAGGATAAGTGAAATTATTCTGAATCGAAACAGTTCGGAGTAAGACACAGATAGTCCATATTAAAAAGTATGACATTTTGTTTACGTAATATACAGAGCTCGGGTTATAGGGTTTCGTATTTTTGTCTTTAATTAATTCTTGGAACCTACAGGTTTTTATAACATCATGAGTATATATACGTTTACATCTGATAATGGTGCATGGGTTCCGTCGGGGGGGAGGTCATTATATATATATATATATATATATAAGGCCACCCATGAGCCCATCTGTCACATTGCCATTCACGTTGAAAAATACTAAAATTAAGTTGATTAATATGTTTGAATGTTTTTAAACAAACTACGCGAACATTTTAAGACATGTATTCGTCGTTAGTATTTTTCATATTGATGTCATATAATTTAAGTACTTCTATGTAGGGTCAGCCTTAACCCTACATAGAAGTACTTAAGAAATAGTTTACTGTAGTTTCGTAGATATAGTTCCTTCTGGTGAGTTTAGATAGATAACTCGAATTAACGCTTTCGGTTCGACATGAATTTTAAAGATCAGTGATCTTATTTTCTTGTTTTCTATATACGTGTATATATGATAGGAACCACGCATGCGCATCACCCTCATACTTTACGCTAAAAGGTGTTTCCAGGTGTTGCTTACAGGAAT